AAGACCAAGTCGGTATTGATACGTATCATCTGACTATTGATTGTAGCATAGGATGAATTGAAAGAGAAACAAAGTAGTTTCGGGTACATTCAGTCCGTATCTCCACTGACGGGACCCCACCAAATGAAAAATCATTTGGCTACGGAGTTGTCGACAAACAGAACGACCGCAGAACTTTACATATTTATAAACTATAAACAGATCAGCTTGGAAATCTTAGATCAGAAATGCCGATACCAAAGCTGACTATAGGACCGGGTATGGCCGAGTGAACCAAGAACACAATACTATACCTAACGTATCGTTTACATGCACTTCCCAGTAGTTCTGTGGGGCTCTTGAATTTGCTAGAGACCCTATTTTGACATCTTTCTAGATCCCTTATCTCGCTCTACTACAATATTATCGCCACTCTATCTCAGTCCGTCTCCAATGGCCAAAGTCTCCCTCTCGTTATATGTATATATACACGCTCTCACGGAACGTTTCTACTTTGTGTCACTTACGAGTTAAGTATGAAAGAACGTTTTAGCTATCAATAGGAACTGGTATACAAAGTGGCAATGGATCCGGTGTCGACTGTAGTGGATTGGAAGGAATGATTCTGCTCAACGTTGAAACAGAACCGATAAAGCTGGTGCTAAATGAGCAGATGCAATAAGATAAACAAACAAAGCGAAAATAGTAAGGCATCGGTAGAAATCACCAGAAACAGAACAAGAAAGATCATGGTTTGTACAAACATGAGATCGATGAGGCCAAAGTTGAAAATGTGACAAAATTATATGATTAACCTATATATAACCTAACTATAAGTAGTTCTAGCGTATTCTGAAGCATTCCTGCATTGATTACTTTGCTTTGTTCATCCCATACCGGTATGTAAGTGTCATCAAGGACTCTGCCCAGATGACCTTTCATTCGGCGATGCGAAGAAAAATAAAAAAGGAATCCGCACAAAACAACAACAACAGCAAAAATACAATGAAGTTTTGCGGACGAGTCCAATTCCATTAAAGCATATGTCTATAGTGTTTACTCGTTTATGCATTGCTGAATTACATGCAACATTTAGACAGCATATTTCTTGACATTATTTCATATTTTATTGATGTGTTGGCCCTCGGCTGAGGCTCTCTTTTCGCCAATAGATTAAGCACAGTTTGATATGGTGCTGGTAATGGTAGGTCTTTTCCTCATTGCAGAAAGAACAAGCAAAAACAGAAGGCTATAGACACCCAATAGCCATACCCTCGTCTATGTTGGTTGGTTCTGTGCTTTGTTTTCCCAACACCACTGGCCAAGGTCATCATTGTTGGCATCATTTTCTTTCCAACTTAGATTGATCTATAATCGGTTATGTCCCATCTCTTCCGCAGGATAGCTCGCATTTAACTACGGTACCGTGTCAAATCTTTCTCGACTTACGTAAGCTCCCCAAAATCTGACGTCTACTTGGACGGGACACCTTGTGCTTTAATGAAGCGCCACGATGCAGAAAGGTGGATTGATTTTACAACGGCTAATGCCGAACAGCGCGACATTTATCCGTCGTACCAGCTCCGTTTCTTGTTTTTGGCCCATTTCTGCGTCGTTCGTACGCATTCGTCTGCGGCTACACACACTTTGTAAATAGAATAGACAGAGCGTCTTCGTTGTCGTGCTGCGATCAGACGGCTGCATTTGGAAGGGATGACGGTTAAGACCGCGACGTCAGCCGCTGCACCGTAGTCAACGTCATCAGCCTCATCATCATGCAATGATCAGACCGCAATGGATATTAGCACCACTATAATCGTAGTTTTTCTGCGGTTCACTCATTGATACTGTTTACCTTCAACGTTCACTAATACTTGAGCCGCGCTTCGTTCTTTTAACGACTAACTGCAAAAGAAATATATATGTATGTGTATGTAAACATATTCTGTCATTTGTTGCAGGGGTTGTCGATTACTATTACCAGCAGCCCTACAATTGTTATACTATATAAGGCCGGTTTGCAAGCAATACATTGTTGCTTACTTACCGTTGCCGTCATGGCCCGCGCATGACGGCAGCGGAGAGCGAGTCCTTCGCGCTTTAATCTTAACGGGCTTTGGTGGCTTTTGTATTTAGGGGGATATGAACATATCTGTATGTTTTGTGTTGTTTATATAGATAGACATCTGAAGAAATACCTTGCTTGCTATTACTGAATTATATTTGTGTCAATAGAGAGGACACCTCATGTCATAGCTATAACGAACTTGTGACTTTGAAGTTATTCAGTTACAATGAATAGGAATATAATAACAAAATCGGCATCATATTAAGTTCGGCTACGTCAACACTACTAAAACCCTTTGTCGCAGAGAAGAGGAGATAAACGCACTGAGTTAAAATGCGTTCCGTTGTGTTATGTTTTCGTGGCTTGCTTCGACCGTTGTGGAGGCGTTGCGGGAAAGCTTATATTGATAGTTGTACGTCAAATTTACGAGCAGCTCGCCCCTGTGGATCCGTGTATACCAGAATATATAGATGTGAGTGCTTGTGTTAACCATTAATATGTTCCTTATGACAATATGTCTCAACGATTGTAGGTCACACTGAGGCGCGGCCAAGACGTTCGCTCTGTCTGGACTATGTCGTCACGGAGTCGAGGGGGGACACGCTAACAGGTCATAACAGGAGGAGCAGTAACGGATGCACCTATTGAGCGAACCGTAAAAAGCAGATGATTTGTGCACGAGTTATTGGGAAGGAACGATGACGGAAAACATCATCATAGAAATACACTACAAATACGTAGAACACAGGGAAAGCTAGGTGGCTACACGGCTGGCAGCGATATCAGCTGATATGTTCAACATATGTTCCTCCCCGCCGTTAAGGTAAGGAAAAAAATTTAACAGAAACTGATATATATATAACAGGGGAATAGTCCGTCATGCGTTCCCTGCAGCACCAGATAATGGCGGGAACTTTTTGTAGATCCTATCCCTTCTGAAGAGCAAAAATGCAAGAAGGCAGTTCGCCGAGGTAAATATAACCCTTCAGCGCTAGCAGACGCAACGTAGCCATTTTTTGCTGCTAAGGAATAGTCACGCTTTGACACTGTATCATAAACTCTGCAAAAATAATCAACGATCGATTATAGCTAAAACAGAAGCCGAATTTTAGGCTTATTTGGTTAACAGCGATAGTAAGTACGTTATGGTCCTCTGATTATGGAAGGTGATATGTACGTAAGCTTAAGGAGAAGTCGACTACCTAAAAAAATCCAAATGCATTATATGGTCATGGCTACTTCATTAAAACGTCAAGGATGCTTCACCTATCCAGCCTAAATGGTAACCCTCTCTCTTTTTCACACCGACCTCGATCAGAAGATTCATTCGTCAAATGTAAATTCACGTCAGTGTTACTAGGGGATACAGAGTGTGAAAACGATACCTCTGAAGTCAACCGTGACATCACCTTTAATTTATCACTTTTCCGTCAACTTAACCATCTTGGGAAAAAAGTTTATTGAAACTGACATTTTCTCTGCAAAAAAACCTTTTGTTGTCTTTATCATCGTAATGCTTAATATGCCTTTAAGTTTTATCGTCTTCGCTTCCGCTAAGCTTTCCTAAGAGGCAGATATCTATTTTATTAACTATACGCCAAACTGGTCAAGGTGGGAACGAACGCGCGTATTTCAGATAGAGGAGATGTTAGAAACTGATCATAGAGGCTGAATAGAACGGAACACAACAACATCAAAAAAGACAACAAATTACATCAATTTGGTATCAATGGTTTGACACAAGCAGCGTGACAGCAAACAGATCAGCGAAATGACAGAAAAAACGGAAAATACACATTTCGACCTTTATGCTGCTGCCGGGTCCGAGAACAAACGGAAGATGAAAAATGACGACAATCGATCAGTCATCGATTACGTTGATTCTTCGGATCAATTTGTTAGCTAAACAATAGTTAACAGTGTGCCGCTTCGCTGGCCAATGCAAAATGTGTGAACGAAAGCTGCTCACGAAGCCGTCAAGTTTGGTGCCATTAGTTCGTCGAAATCCCATAGCAAATCCCATAGTATATAGTTTAGCTTTCTGAATTCGTACAAGCATACAATCTCTAAGGGTTTTTTTTTCCATTTCGATTTCACACTAACCAGGATTGTCGGTTCACCACGATTACATAACAAATCCACTTAAAAATGACGGTGATAATTACTTAATATAAGAATAGTGTTCACACGTTTAAATGATGGAGAAAAATCAAGTGGTTAAAGACGATTGCATGATCCACGCATTACGGTAAGGTACTCGGAACGTTCAGATCAATCTGTTTAGTTACTCTGGAGCCTGCTCTCCCGATGTATCCTTACTCTTTCTACACTTGAATCAAATGATCACCTATATAATAATAGTAAATAGGTTTAATTAGTACATAGTCATTTCTATTATAAAAATTGAATTTTCTCATGTAGTCATTGTGCCAGTCAGCCACCATTATCTCTATGCGCATTACTAAGCTATACTCGTTGCGAGACAAAACTGAGCCGTTATGGCGACAGCCGACGCATTGTCGACAGACAAACAAGGTAGGCGAGACCGTATAAACTTGCACAGTGTACACCTATCAATCAACTGAGTAAATAGCGTTGTCACCACGTTCTGGTGTGTATTTGCCTAAAGTAAGAAACGTTTTACGGAACTAGGCGGTGGCCTGAGCAGTTAGGGCTAAAATGTTCCATGGTTTAAGGCAGGCCTTCTGTCACCTGCACATACGCGTTCTAGCCAATAGGAACAAAATAGTATGATTGTCAGCGTCTTATTCTCTATAATTCGATGTATGTTGCTTCCGCTATGCGCCCCGCTGTCTGTTCGTGTGCCATCCCAAGTCGACCTATTTGTCGTCTTGGCTATCTACATCTTGTGCGCCTATAAAGCAGAGCATATTATATAACAAAGTGTAGGTATAGAACTATTAGTATTTTGGCGACGATGCTGGTCGAGCAACATTTATCGTTAGCACTTAACGACGACGAAAAGAAACTCGAACATTAGAATCCAGAAAAAAATCCTTCAAGCATAATGCTCTTCATTTTTCCTACCTTATTTTTCTCCACGCACGACCAGGATGCAAAGTATTAACGTTTCCATTTTATATCTCTTAATTTCTACCGTTTCTAGCGAACAGAGAACTGATGCCAAAAGCAAACGCAAAAGTATAGAAGTTTTAGTCGTAGGTGCAGCGGTAACTGCGGCTCCTGCTGCGGCTTCCGTTGATGTCGGTCGCCATTGCTGATACGCTGAAATGATTTACTTGTTCTCATAATATGTTTTTTTTTGGCAGCGGCGAGAGTGACGACAGGAACAACAAACCGGTTATAATATCATAGATTACGTATAATGACATATTATCTATGAAAGGATGCAGCAAAACGGTCGCAATCGCAATTAAGCTTGCTCGTTTGCCCCAGCTATTAGTGGAGGCGAAACGCATCGCAAGGGAGGACGCTCAAACAGGCCAGTAACGAGTCAACGTACAGATACACGGCACAATCAGACAAAGAGCCAATTACACAGACGGGACGAGACCAAAACGTCATAATATACTGTTCGAGCGGACGGATAGACTGGCAACTAAACACTGTCGACGCCGTCCATCGCAGTGCTGCCACTGTAGAAAAGTTGCTGGCAAGTATATCTCCAGGCCATTACGTTTCGAGTATTAGGTCCGGCGTCGTCATTAGACACTCTGTCAGATGGCCAACGAATCGCGTCCCTATGTTTCCTATGGTTCGAACCTAGACCACACCATGTACTTAAGATTAGCTGGCAAATATGTTACCCGCTAACCGATCACGAAAGTCAGAGCTGCCTGGAATAATATGAACGGTTTTAGCTTTGGCTAGTGCAATGTCAATCAAGTATCATCTGCGAAAAGGGCCTTGCTTCTTGCACCTTCGGTTTTTCGTTCGTCCTAGCTGACAGACGGCAGTTGTCGCTGACGCTTGCCGTCACCTGGTTACATCTGCTTGTGAACTGTGGCAGAACAGATATGTATAGGTACGCATCCGTAATGCTCATGTAACCAGACGACAGATATGATTGAGCAAAGAAATAGATGTAATGTGTCGTCAAATAGCAGATGACGACGTTGGCAGTCACTGGTTTTCCTTTTATTACTATCGTTCCTGTCCGTTCGGCTGATCCTAGTACCGTTGTTGCACGGTGACCGTTGCCGTTATTACGGCGGAGGCGGCCGCTGTTATGCCGTGCGCAGTCGTGTTTGGGGCCGAAGCCGGCGAGTTGACGGGGTAGGTCAGTGCTGATCCATCGCAAAACTTGTCGCGCATATAGGAACGCACGTAATCTGGCAAGCGTCAAAGCGCGGTAACATACTGCGCTAAAGGGAAAAGAAGAGAAGAAAACAGCAGACGGTAAAGGCTACCGAAGCGCTGATGCCCGCCTATGATGGCTTTCAGTACAAAATGCACGTGCCAAGAATACAAACAAATCACTTCTAGTCTACTGCGTGCGTCCGTGAACGTCTGTGTGTATGCGTGTTTACCGATACTGTGAAAGATTTACCTATTCGCTCGAGGAATATAGATCGCATCGTTTGCGCCAACGTGTGCTGTTCGGCACAATGGTAATGTTCGTAATGTCAACCGTAATAACCCACTAGCACATCATGCGATGACAAAAGCCGCAAGTTTGGTCGCCATGGACGGCCCTTGCAGTTCCGCGATACGCAGACGATGTGAAGACAGCGAAGTGCCACTGCCTTTCCAAGGAAACACAAACCAGTTACTGACAACTTATCATACCGAAAAATTCAGGAAGAAAAATCAAAGAAAAGATGTACACAATACGGACTCTACATTTAGTCGATGGAAGGAAGAACTATTTCGGTATTTTGATGTTCAGGTGTCTTTCGCCTACTTTTTATTATGAGCTATGATATATAAGAACGACTGGACAACAACCGAATGATGCATGTATATATTCAAATATGGGAAATTTGTTCAAATAGAAAGTTTGCGCCGGACTGATGATTATCATATACTGTAGTTTTTTGGGCTATTCAGCCAGGGTCAATGATATGTGTGTAACGCAATCTGTGAACGTTCGAGTAATACACAACGGGTGGAACTTGTGCCAGGAAAACTTGTCTCCTGCCGGGAAAACATCGACTGGGGGTAGCAGTAACGACCTCCAATAAGATGCAAAGGCCCGCTGCGGTTGATATAGAGTGACAAATTCAAACGGGGCCATGACAATGATTATGTCAATCGTCGTCCGGTTTACTAGTTGATACTATCTGTCATCAGTCGTATCTAGGCTGTAACAGATTTCATAGCATGGATGAGCCTTTTGGCGCGCCAGAGTGACGAACTAATCAGAGCGAAACAATATGCCGTTATAGAGAAAAATTAATAATCTACTTGGCAACAGATGTAGATAGCGGCCATGCATCTGCTTATTCCGACAGGTAGAACTGCCAAGTAGATTATTAATTTGGCTCTGGCGAATTGTTTGATTCAATAACATACTATAGTTTCATATAGAAGTAAATGAAGTACGTGCCCTTGCGTAATAATGCATGCCTACGTAAATGGCGTGCGCTTGTGTGTACCTGAAGCTTCAGCACTAGATTAGCTAAAACATGCAGCTTTTACCTAGTATAGTTTCGACGAAAAACCTCGAAACATGTCCTCCTATTAGGACGAGTTTTGACCTAACTGTTGCGTTTTTTTCGACCTAAAAAAATCCTGCCATCGGCACTCGACGCCATGCGTGTAACTAAGGGTCGATCTCCCTGAACCGGCTACGGTAAAAGTACGGTGTCGTTACATGGGGCGCCTCCGTTGCGCCATCGCCCAGCAGTCATCTCTTTGGTGACGTCGCAAAACATATCGACGGAATGCAGCTCTCGTCATCTATGTCGTCTGCAAATGATGTCCCGCTTTGGGCATTTGTCCGCGAGTTCTGTCGTCAGGCGATCTCTTTTTCGCTGCCCTATCTTTGCCTGTATTGCTGTGGCCAGCTTGATGCATTGTTTATTGAGGAAAATATTGAAGCTGAACGGCTAACGTTTACGGAGACGAACACACACACGTCCAGTTACATGCACACACTTGTGAACGGCCAGTCATCGTACACCGTTGACATCCAGACGATTTCTACAATATGCGCGTGGTAAGCACTCCCTTACAACACAGGTGAGTGGCCACGGCCTCAGCAAAACCACTACAGACCCTATCGACCCAGGCCCTCTCTCCGCAACCCAGTCCCATCGGTGAAGTCGAATCAGCATTAACATTTGAAGGTTGTCAACGGCAAATCGTTGCTGTGCGGGCAAGCCACTGACTGAGCGGCTGTTTGTTGCCAAAGTAACCGTTGACTTGACGATTGAAAATTTGAGTGGATATGATGATGCTTCTGCTGCTGGCGTCGGATATTATGAATCTGATGATTGTGCATGCGACGCGCGCTGTGGAGCAGCGGTGATTTATTTGAAAGACATAGATAGATATATGTATAAACGGTTTATTTCATTAAATAAATGATCGGGCAGACACATGCTATAGACGAGGGTAATTTTCTCCAATAGCTTGAATGCACACTCTCGCACTGAGCTGTTAGTTCCAATAAAAGTTCCGACGAGAAATAGAGAAAAAAAAAAAAAAGAAGAAATAAGATGACAAAAGTATCTGGTGGTCGTCTTCATTGTCGCCGCCGCCGCCATCAGAAGCTTCGTTTTGAAAAATAGAAACATTTATATATTAGCAATGATCGTCACAGCGTAGCGTGGTGCTGATATGAGCAGAGTGACTTCGGCGCCACGGCCCAAAATGCCTGACGCCTGCACGATCGCTGATAGTGATACATGTAATATGACGGTAACGATACGGAGAAGCTTTATGACGTCGTTGATGGCGTCAGTGGCTTGCAGCGTGGATTCACGATTTTTCACCAGGCAAAGAAAAACGAAGAAGTGAGGTCCAGGTAGGGGAGCATGGTAAATGGGATAAAAAGAATTGACAACAACTATGAACGAGGTCGGCCAGCAGACGACATTCAGCAAGCTGGCAATCGGGAATTGGCAACAATGTAGTTTCCACTGGATAACCGTCTGTTCGTCCCCGGTGACATATTTCTTCGCTAGATCATAGCGAGAGAGGTAACGCGGGAAGGGTAAAAGGGTGACAAAATATGCGCTGTAAGCAACCTGCGAACGAGCGCAAGCTTTATATATATATATATGCTTAGAAAAAAGCCGGTGCTGTTGAAGAATACGGGTCATGTATACGGTATCTTAATGCGTTGTTAGCGACTAGCCAAAAAGGAAATATTTAGTTTTCCCTAATTTTCTCACCCTTCTCCCATGTAAATCCTCGTCCTGGCTGAATCTAACCGTATTTTGGTGCTTTCTTTCTTTCTTCAAGGTCGGACAATGATAATGCATAGTAGATGAAATAATTCGCAGACGACTATATACACGATCACTTACAATGTGAGATATCTAAATTCATCAAGACCAAAAAAAATGCCATAGCCGACAACACGTTATGATCGATAAAGGACATAACGGTTTAAGCGGAGTCATCGGAAACGCGACTGCTAGCCACAGTGACAAAAACTTCCATTTGCGTGAAAATTGAAATTAATGATAAAGCTCTTTGTAATTTACGTTTTCAATGGGTGTTTAATTGATTTCAGCTTACTTGTACTGCTGCGAAAAATTAACGCAGCCAGTCGATAATCGGGTCGAGGTATCGGATCGCGGGTCTGAAGAGACCCGAACAAGTTCTTAAAGATTTTGAAGAAATTACTATGCGACTTTTATTATCACTACTGTAGTCGTCGCTGCCGCCGTCTTTCTTTTTTCGCTTGATTTTTTTTTTTTTCAATTTTTCGCCACTTTTTTACGTCGTAGTAGCGGTAATAGCAGTAGTAGTAGTAGTAGTAGTAGTAGTAGTGAAATATGGTGTGTAAATCACTTCACGTTTAGCGAAATCACTGACGAGCAGCGGGCACAGTAAATGTGTCAGCAACATAGAAAGTCGCCCGAAAAGCGGCGTTGACGCCAGGCCATAGATTCATATATTTCTCTAGCCGTCGGGAGCAGATGATACAGCGTTCGGTAGGCCAGCTAGGCAGGAGATTGGAGAAAAAAAACAGCCAGCGGACTAGCAAGCTGGCTGGTTGGTTAGGGAAAAATAATGCCGAGAAATGACTTATTGTCAATGATGTACCCACAGAGCTCTGGCCGCACGTCAATGGATATACGCGAAAACGCCAATCACCCATAAGGCCTGCGCCATGTAACGCCGAATCGAGTAGAAGGAAGCGATAACTTTCGAGCCACCGTCAATAAAGCGGTGGTTTACCTTTTTTTTTTCATTATTTGTTTTGTTCATTAGCTTTAACGACTAAGGAATGAGCACACCGGCATGCCTGGGTGAAAATAGTAAGAATTTATGTAATTTTAATGCTTTTCAGTTGATTTTTTTCGCCTGACAACTAAATAGCAAGACTCTGAGTGATGTTAGGTTTTTTGTTCAATAACCAACATCTCTACCTATTAGAAGAAAAGGGGGATTAAAGAGTCACAGACACGGTATAGTTCCAGTATAACGTAATCTAAATTTTGCAAAAAAAAAAATGTGAGCGTGCAGCATTATAAAAATCAGAGCAGATTTCACCTATATACGCAAAATGCGCGACACATGAGCGTGCTTATTTATTGGGAATTTCGCATACTTTCAGAAGTGGTACCTGAACGAAGTTCAACGTGCAAGTATGTTCATAAGCGCCTATGTTAACATGTGACGAAGATATGCCCGCATATGTGGGGGCTGTACGCAAATCCCAGATAATGGGATAGTAAGGGCATAGAATAGATCAGGATAAGTTCAAATGCGTTATTGTAAAATGTATTTATTTGAAAGCAGCTCCACAACTGTACTATATAGAGAAGTTGAACCTTTCATATAAATTGATGAGAGCAATTATCGCCTTTAAACGTTGATTTCGAAAGAGTTCTATCGTATTCAATGTTTTTCGTCGCTGCGATCGATCGTCTGCTTTCGGAGCAGACGCTCAAAAGGCAACCTTTAGCTTGCACGCGGACGGCGGTCGTGCAGCTATTTTTCATGCAAACAGTGCATTGACTTCGACCCATGCAAATATTGTACAGATGATGATTCGTGCGGAGCCGAGATAATTAAACTAGGTGTTACCAGTGAATGTTAAAATAAACAGATCCAGTCGGCAAGCCAAGAGTAGCCGGTATCTATGATTCGATTGTGGCAATGCTGAAGAGGCGAGAATCTGGCGGGTTGCTGATACAGATCGAGGTGGGCAAGCCAATAGTAGCATTATTCTAGTTGGTAATCACCTCGAACTAACTGCGACAGGACGGTAAATACCCTGTACGAGACGACAATAGTCAATGGCGAATATCCATAATGTTGTTAAAAAGCGTTGCAAAATACCTGTGTGTGCTTTATTAATCGTTACGCTTACCACAAATATTCGAAGTAGTGCAGCGTGTCTAAATTCGATGAGAAAAATCTGGCCTCAAATTTATCAAATGTTTCTGGGTGCATCGTAATTGAATTAACTATGTTTGCACTTATCGGCTATCGTCTTAATACTCTAGTGTCGTCCTGATCAGTCAGATCTTGCAGATATGCAAGACCAATTACCCTTTTCTAAGATAAACTACGACAGCTTTGGAGTGATATGTAACTAGGCGTCGTGTCTAACAATGCTAGATTTCATCGTTTTTTTTCCATTACATTTTCCTAACCCAGCACTTGGCTTCAATCAGAAAATCGTTATTCGATCGATTCTAATCTACCCGTCATGCAATAACACACGTGTATTTGTAAAGACTTTACATTTGAACCCTAGGCACAGGTTACAAATGTCACCAAATTAAATAGAAATAACAAAAGTGCGTTTTTAATATACTCGACCACTTTTCTCAGTACTCGAGCATTGCCAGCGTAATATCAATTGATGCGTTCTTTTTTTCCAAACGTACATCTGGTATGGAACTGTGCCATTTTTTATAGATCTCTATAGATATAAATCACCTTAATGTACAGCTATAAAGGTCTTAAACTGCGATAACCTAGCCTAAGGCAAGCAGCCTATTTCCTTTGGAAGGTGTGCCAATGGCCAACAATAGCACGCACACTAGTCACATTACCTTAGCACAATCAGCGAGAAGAGGCCATTACTATTCGACACACAGACATTTATAAATATACAGACACATTCGCGAGGTATCAATCGTGTACACAGAGGTACGCTGTGATGGCTTCGATCCTGTCGCTGTCATATTAATCCAGTGGCAACCCCCATGTGCTTCGTAACGTACACAGCAAACGGCCACGTCGGTAAGCATTACCGCCTAGGGAGCTAGATTACATCCGATTGCAATAACTTAGAGCCCGGCGACATACTCGGGGGTTTGGTTAGTGAATGACGAGTCATAAATGTATCGAGGTCGCAAGTATATTCTACTTGGAAATGTACGATGTACACACCCTTATACGCCTACCCGAACCGAATGAATGTTTAAACTTGTGAACAAAGCCTTTGAAGGGTTATGGGGAAAAAACCGATCAGCATTTTCATTGAGAAGATCCCATTGAGATTGAAGAGCGGATTTTTCGCATTATGCTTTGTTTAATGTCCCGATGCTAAGGTAACTTAAACGAAGGTCTTTTTAGCTATATAAAACCTTCGTGTATGGTAGGCGATTCAACTCGAACAACGGTAAATTAGCTACGATAACTTAAAACTGTCGCAGATTCGGTTGTGGATGGTGGTAAACTAGCAACGTGCAAAATGATGATATTACACGCTTATGCCTTTCCGATGATCAGTCAGAAGCGCAGTTGAATGGATTTGTCAGCGAATCTATTTTATAGAACGAATACAACAGGACCAGTCAAAGTGAGCCAGATTAGAGTAATGGCATTTTGTCGTTTGGACGAATGTCACGGCATGCTCGAATGTCTGTCTATCCACATCGCTGTGTATAGTCGTTGTACATGTTGTACACCTAGCCGTCATGGCATTCAGTTACGAAGCATTTGGTAACCGAGCGCACTACAAAAGCCAAGTTCGGCCTAATGTACATCTGTTAGATGGCCAGTGAGGTGTCGACGCTTTAGGCTGCTTCTACGCTCCCCTCCTTCGCTCTCACCCAGAGCCCTTTCGTGGCGAACCAAGCAACCCCGTTGATTCAGAACCTACTTCCTGTCGGGTTTCCGCCACAGTTGAAATCCTCAGGCAGCCAGGGCCCGCCACTAAGATTAACCTGCTTAGAACGTACGCTTCATCCGTTCGCGCTATGTGCTCAGAAGCAATTTCTCTTAATTTCACAGGAAAGACCTGGCCTCAGCGCGTCTGCCGCTGTTGCTCTTGGTATATAAGAAAAGAATACTTTTATTTAATGCCCCATCCCATGCTTTGCTGCGTTCTTCCCCTCCTACCACATCTAGAATCACTGTCGCTTTGTCGACCGGAGCTCGCAGCCCTTCAGGCTCCAAGCTCTCACTGTTGTTACACCGCCTCAAGGCATTACTGCTTCCTGTAGACAGGTGACGGCTAGCAAACTTAATAACTCGCTCCGATTCGTTTGCTTTTCCTGCGCCGGAGTATGTGTCGGTATGAGGGAGGGAGTGAAGCTCGCAACTGAAGTTGATATTAACTTGATATCCTTGATTTAACCGACAATGACCACTGCCTATTCCATGATATAATAGTGGCTTTAATAGATATTGGACTGTTTCAGATGTGAACGCTCCGGAATTGCCGGAAACAAAGCAAAGGAACAGGCGCTTTCCTGCGCCGCTTCTTGCTCAGGTAGACGTTGTCTACCAAGAAAAAGCAAGAGGATTGTGCTGCATTCTGTTACGCACGGCCAGTAGCGTCACAATATGGTTCCTCAATTGGCATAGTGGAGTGTTCGTTGTCTATTACTAACTGGTTCATACTTTGTGTATGTTGAGTTCTGGCCTCGAAAACGATACAAAAGTTTCGTTTCTATAAATTGTTTCAGCGACCGGTTTTTCCTACCTCGTACATATCTGTTATAGTGAAGTTCTTATTATTTATTTGAGTATAACTAGTAGTTGGTAGAAGTCACTTTGTTACCATCGAAACCCTCACTCTGTCACGCTAACTATAGAGGCAGCATTAGTTTCGACACTGCCAATGAAGACAATGATGGACGATCTCCTTCAGGCTTGTATCCAGTAATAGTTTATAGTTTTAGCTAAAAAAGTTTACATGCGACCAATGTAATGTCCTTTCGTTGATGATGAATGTGAAGAATATTAATTCGGTCGTTGCTAATGATGTGTCTGTGTTAAGATAAGCCAGTAACTAACTGGACATATAGAATGTTGAGCGTAGAGAGATGTCGATCAGCCTGCCAGGATCCGAGAAAGCAGCTAGTATATACCTTAAACAGTGTTTTGGACAAAGCAAAAGCAATGACCATGGAGGCCTATCATCAATACCTGTTCGAAAAGAAACCTGTCGAAGAGAAGATCAACTTGTTTATTAGCGACGAACTGCCGGCCATAGTGGAG